AGTTTAAATTTGCCCTGTCATGCATGCCTAATGCTTGTCTATCACTTTGTCTCCTTGCCTGCTAGGTTGTGGCTCTGTAGTTGGGCTTGTTGGGTCGGGCCAGTGCCAAGCATCGGAGTTGTGGCCCTCGCTGAAGACAAGGAGGAGGAAGCTTATCACCACAAGAAGAAGGAGGTGGCCTCTCTCAATTTTTCTCTTGAAATTGAACTTTCAAACTTCTTTATAGCTTCTAACTGAGTTCTCGAACTTTCAATTAAGTCCTTTACATTTTGAATTAGTCAAATTTCACCCCAAACTCTCCATTTCAGCTCTGTTTGGCTCAAAAAATTCCCTCCATTAGTCCATTCCACAACCAAGAAAATTAACATTAATTAGACGGTATAAAAATTATTTGGTGTAAAAGTTGCAAACTTAAGGGCCCTAAATAAGAGTAAAAACTGCATTATCATATATTGAACAAACACTTCGAGTATTGTGGTGGATAAAGTGCTAGCACGTTCCACATTGCGTCACAATACGGGTATTGCCGTATTGGATTGAGTTGGAAACAAAAAAAAAAACAGTCATAACTACCATACTCTAAAAAATCATTTCAAAAATATCAAACTTGTAGAATTTTTCAAAAAATTAGGCCATAAATTAGTATTATTTATTTCTAATAATTATCAATATTTTAAATTTATATGAAAATAGCGTGTCTTTAATTGAGAGTTATTAAAGGACAATTTCCCCAGCGTGAGTTATCCAGTATCATTGTTCCCTTCTTGTTGCCACTGTTTTTTTCAACTTTTTTCCTTTTATTGGTGAAGCAAAGAAATGAACTATCGTTTATAAATAATTGTTTTCGATCATCGACATTGACCATCATATTTCCCTGCGACAATTCTATAAAATTTGCAATGCACTGATTATATCTTCAGTTATTGTTTATAACGTCATTGTGTCATTGTGAACTATAATGTTGTATAACTATCAATCGGTCACAAATGTACGGCATCATTTTATCCTCTATCTTACGGTATTATAATCTGTGACATTCTTATGCTTGCAGCATTTAAGAATGTGACCTAAAATGTGTATTTGAAAATTTGTGACTTCGTACAAAATTTGAGATTGTGAACTATTATATTGTGCGATTGGATTATGATCTAAAATTTTGTAATACATTAAGTAAATGTGACCTCTTACGTTGTGTGATTGAGACTTGTAAGGTCGTGTGAATTTGATTGTCAATAACAAAAATATTATATTCTTGTGTCCTGTACACGCTTAATACTTTTTATAGTTTCAATTTTGCATGTATCTTTTAAAAATGGGACAATAAAACATTGGTATTTTGAAGTTGTGACTTGATTTCAAGGAGAAATCTTTTATTAGCATATGAGGATAGAATTTGGTTGCAAAATATGTATCAATCTTATAACTGCAGAAATGATAATGTTAAGTACCAGTGATACGACACACCATTTAGTACACACTTACTACATATTTACCCTTGTTTGGTGGAACTTAAAATTAAAATTTTAATTTAAGTGAAAGTTAACGATTAATTTTAATCATACATTTAATGGAATTCATAATTTTTAACTACACATTTCATCAATTTCAATCAAAATTTACTAATTTTAATACCCACCAAACAGTCTTAGTCTTCAAATTAGGATTAGTTTACATCCTTAGTTACCCCAAGCCCATTGTGATTTGATAGTTTTTAAAAGTGGAAATTACACAAAACCATAGATTACCTATTCAAAATTCCTAAATCAGACTGAAACTTTAATATTTCAAAAACCAGATTTTTTATTAATTATTTAAATAAATTAATTACCAAAAAAATAAAAACCCTACCCAACCTTCACTACGCACTGCCATTTCTTTCCTTTCCCCTGCTCATCTCTCTCTCTATCCCTCACACCCTTCTCCAGCGACGATCTCATCCCACCTATGGCAACCACCATAACTGCAACAACCACAATCACTATACCCATTACAACCACCAAACCTCTCAAAACCACAATCGTCGTCCAACTGTTGTGAACTCACCATCGCTGGGAGGCTATTGCGAACTCGCTGTTCCTGGAAGCCACTACCGGAAATCACCGCCAATGAGATTGTTACACGATCTGATGTTTGCTGCTGCGAGATGTGGTGGGTCTACTGCGTGATCCTCCTTGCTACATCCCAAATCTTTTTCCTGATTTTGGTGGCCGAGGGGTTTCTGTGTTATTCGATTGTGGAATGATTTGGGTGCGGTGTTGTATTGTGTTTTGTTGTGTGCGATAGGTGCGAGGTGGTGGTGGTGTTTGACGGTAGTGAGATGGTGGTTTTGGGGGGTTACAGTGGTTTAGGTGATGGCAGTGATGTTCAACGATGGTAAAGAGGGTGCAGATGGTGGTTTTGTGGTCACAGTAAGTGCAGTTTGGGTGATGGTCGTCGTGGTCGTGGTGATGGTGTTGGTGTAAGGCTACGACGGTGCTGGCGATAATTTGGGGACGGTTGTGGATGGTGACTTTGACTCACAGTTTGGTGTTAGTGTGTGGTGGCAACCGTTGGGGCGATGAAAATTGTGATTGTGACTCACAATTGGTGACTCCCAATTGTGGTGTTGGTGTGTGGTGGGTGGCAACAATAGTGACGGTGATGGCCATGAGAATTGTGACTGTGACTGATTTCGATTTGTGAATTGTGACTCATAATTGGATAAGTAACATGAAATTTGTGACTATGATTTTCAATTGTGACTCACGATTTATTAAACTGTGACCTATAAATTTTTTGAATTGTGATTGTAAAATAATTTGTGACATCAAATTTCTGATTTGTGACCAAAAAATAATAAGTAAATAATTAAATCGTTAATTTGTGACCAAATTATATAAATCTGTGACTTAAATTAATTCGTGACTAAAATTAATAAATAATACATGACCTAAAAATTGTGTTTGTGACTTATAATTTATTAAGTTGTGATCGAAAAATTAATCTGTGACCTATAAAATTTTTGATTCGTGATCGAAAAATAATATGTGACTTATAAATTTTGTGTTTGTGACTTATAAATTATTGAATTGTGACCGAAAAATTAATCTGTGACCTATAAAATTTTTGATTCGTGATCGAAAAATAATATGTGACTTATAAATTTTGTGTTTGTGACTTATAATTTATTGAATTGTGACCGAAAAATTAATCTGTGACCTATAAAATTTTTGACTCGTGATCGAAAAATAACATGTGATCTATAAAATTTGTGTTTGTGATTTATAATTTATTGAGTTGTGACCGAAAAATTAATTTGTGACTTATAAAATTTTTGATTCGTGATCGAAAAATAATATGTGACCTATAAAATTTGTATTTGTGACTTATAATTTATTGAGTTGTGACCGAAAAATTAATCTGTGACCTATAAAATTTTTGATTCGTGATCGAAAAATAATATGTGACCTATAAAAATTTTAATTTGTGACCGAAAAATAAGTTGTGACCAATAATATGATAAGTCGTGACTAAAAATTAATCCGTGACTAATTATTTTTGGATTTGTGACCAAGAAACAAACTGTGACTTACAAAATTTTTGAAATGTGATCGTAAAAAAATTTGTGACATAAAATTTTTGATTTGTGACTAAAAAATAATAAGTAACTAATTATATTGTTAATTTGTAACCAAATTGTATAGATCTCAGACCTAAATATATTTAATTAATAAAATAATTAATTAACTAATTAAATTATAAATAATTTTTAATAAAAATCTGATTTTAAAAATTTGAAACTTGTTTTCTTGTTTTTGAAATGTGCCATAATTAATTTCTTAGTTATGAAATTTTCCCTTTTTAAAATGTGAAAATTTAGACCCATGTTTGGTATTTTTCCCAAATTGAAATTTATTGATTTTGAAAATGTTGAATTAAGCTGAATTTATGCTGTTTTTTCAATGCTCGACTCTTTAATGAAAAAGTTAAAAAAAAAAAAAAAGTATGTAACATTTTAAGTTTATGATACGATCATACGAAGTTATGTGTAACTTTTTTATGTTTGCAGTATTTTTCAACTGTTCTTTAGTTACTTTATTTTTACAACAATCCTAGACAATAAAGCAAAGTCTGACTCGTTAAAATAATAATAAATTAAATAAATAAATAAAATTTCCAAAAGCAGTGATCATCATCATTGTATAAAAGCTCAAAAATGCGTGTGGTCCCAACTTGTGTCTTTCTCCAAATAGACAAAAGTAATTATTGTACAATTCAAAAAAGAGGAGACTAATATTGAAGCTCAAAATGATATTTAAGTTTGTTTTAACAATTATTCAAGTGAGGTTGACAATCTCGATTAACAATCACATACATCATAAGGGTGCCCATATTGAATAAAAAAATCGTGAATCCCCCTACTGTAAATACGTTGTTCAACCACGATTGTACAACTAGAATAATTATTCTATTATAGCTCTTGTTTGAGCCCCATTTTTTGGGGAAGTATGAATTTTTGAATAGTGTATTGATGGAAAATGTGTGGTTAAAAAGTAATGAAAAATTTTGAATTTCCGTGTAATATTATTTTATTAAAAAATGTGCTGTTGAAATGATGTCAAAATACTATTAAAAATGATTTTTTTTTCAAAAAAATGGAGCTCAAACAAGGACATAGTATTTATAATTTAAATTGATGGAAAAGGAATTTTTTAAGTGTTAATTCATTAATTGATCAAAATTACTAGACATTGCCAATAATATTACATCTAAATTATATTCAAAAATTATAACTACAAAAATATTATTTTCTATTACATTATAAGTTATAATGTACATAAGCCCTGTTTGAACCACAGTAATATAAGAATAAGAATGAAAAATATAATCGTTATGACCTCACACGAGTGATAGAAAATCAAATAATGATTTAATTTAATGAATAACGATCATATTTACAAATAATGGAAAACAAATATGGGCCTAATAAAATTGTGATCATTTTATTTGTACAATCATAAGTTCAACCATCAACACCAAGTTTCTATTTTTGTTAGGTTAACCATTCACTCAGACATTACCACACAACAAACTTGCAATTTAATTATTTAATTTCTATTACATTATAACAATCACTTTTAATAATTGACAGAATTTTGCTTTTGTGAGTATTGAAAAGGAACTACAATTCAGAATTTCCTCAATTTAAAAAGAAAAAAGGAAAAGAAAAAGACGAAGAAGGGGGGGAAAATAATGAAGAAAAACTTACCCCACTGCACTACTACCACCACTACAAATCCCACCCAAAGAAACCACCGAGAATCTACAGAGTCCACCATCGGCCGGCGATGCATCTTCTTCAATCTCCGCCGGAGGCAGAACCCTGCCTTCGGCAAACAAATTCCGGCCATTCTGCGTCGGTTCTTGAACAATCCCTTCCTCAAGCTCCGCAGCAGCGCCGCCGCCGCCACCACCCAAGAAGACGCCATCGCCGAACCTCCTCTCCACCTCCAAATATTCCCCAAGAGACGCCCGCCGACAGTCATAATCATCTCTGCATAGCCTCCACCATCTCCTTCTTTGCCGCCGAAGCCGCTGCTCCTCCATCCCCATCGATCCCCGAGCCCGACCCTTTTTGGGTGTCTTGGTTATCCGGCCGTTGTGGGCGGCGGAGACTGTATTCTCCGACTGTAGGTTCTGGGAGGAGGAAGCCCTGAATGTGATAGCCTGCAAGGTGACCCCCATAAGAGTGCCAAGTGTGGTGCTTCTGTCATGGAAAAATGAACCTGTAGACTGCAATTATTCACACCAACAAAAAAAAACCCAAATGTAAATCAATTGTTAGCATGAAAAATTGAGGGTGCGGGATCAAGAAAATTGCACCTCAGTGTCAAGATCAGAAGAAGAAATGGAGGAATGTGTGGGGGAGAAAGCCACCAGACCATTTGCTGGATCCATCTCTCTCTGTGTGTGAAATTGTTTCTGGTTCTTGAGAGTGAGATTTGTTGGTGGAATTCTTGAAATTTTGAGTGATTATGCTGGAACTGTTGAGATTCGAGGATGGCTGCTTATAAGTAATACTATTAAGCTTAGCCAAACATGAGCTTTCGTGTTCTTCCTTGAGTTTGCAAGGGGTGCACATTAAAGAGTCCTTCGGTGGGGTTGGGTGAATGGTATTGCACTGCGCAATCACGCCTCTTGGTGATAAGAGAGGATGAAAAAGTTTTTGACTTTATTTATTTATTTATCATTTTTCCATTTATCATCCTCTTAATAAAAATTGCATGATTACTGATGAGTATGTTTCTCTAGTACTAGATGGTAACTTCCTCCCTCGGGTTCTTATTGAATTCTAGCCATGTTCATTATGTCGGTTTGTGATTTGAGATTGTGTAATGATCATGTAAAACGTAATTGCATGCTTCTTATCGAGATCTAAAATTTAGCCCTTGTTTGAGTCCCATTTTGGAGGAAAAATGTATTTTTGAATGATGTATTGATAGAAAATATGTGATTAAAAAAGAGGAAAAAATTTTGAATTTACGTGTAATATTATTTTATTGAAAAATGTGTGGTTATAGTAATGTTCGAATATTGTTTAAAAATGTATTTTTTTTCCCAAAGAACGAGGGCTCAAACAAGGTCTTAGAACTTGCTTATGTAGGATAATTTAATATTTTAAATCACTGAATATTTCATGTTAAATCATCAAGAAATACGAGAATTAAAGTAGAAGCGTACCTGAATCAGACATGATTAATGCGATAATGAATTTCGTGGTATAGTCTTCTAAATTTACATGCAGCCTCATTTTTCTCTCTGTGATGGGATGCAGTAGAGAATGAATAATACATACGTGTGATTTGGGGACCATAACCATATTTATATAGCGACGCCCTTTGACCTGATTCAACCCATCATAGAATTAGGACTTGAGCCCGATCTCTACACATATGTAAACCCACACTTTAATTGGATACATAAAGCCCAAAATCGAAACCTTATTAGATCACTTTAATTGGGCTCAACCGAATTCGATAGCCTTTAATTTAACACACAATTATTCACACATATAAGCCCATTGATGGATTAAAAATCTTTACAGCTTAAAATCCCAAAAACGAGAGTTTGAATCACTTTCCTTTGTTGCTAACTTCCTGCAATGTCAAACACTCTTCTTTTGATTTGAAACTCAATTACTATGAAAGGAATTTGATCTCCACGAATGAAGAACCAATTATGACATCTTAATCTTGCAAAATCGAGTCACTCGCCCTCATATATCTTTCTCTATATGTTTATATCCGAATTTGCACTCATATGTGATGGTTTTAGAGGGTTTGGAGTCCTGTAGAAGTTGTATGAGATAGAGAGGTTAAAATTCAATTCCAAACCTCAACTCCCCTCAGCTTTTCTTTTCAAACTACTGCTATGCAATTCGAGCCAGGTCAGCTCACATAGATACACACAAAGGCTAACACAAATTGTTTAGTCGGTGAATACAAGTTAAGGTGTTAGACAAGATAGTCTTCATTTCCTCCTTTAATCCCTTAATTCAGGTTAGTTGCTTTTTTAGACATGTTCCATTAAATCGAATTAACTATAATCTTTAGTAACACGCTAAAGTAGCAACACCAAAATAGAACATTGAGAAATAGTCAAAAGTCATAATAGTATATAAGTGACGTCATATATGCCTTGGAGACTTACACAATGAAGAAGCAATAATCCATTCTTTTATTTTTCATCGGTTGTAAAAGCACACATAGTTCCTGTTACGATATTTTCTCCATTTCTTAGGACAAATGTCTCATTTTACAAATTAAATACATCGAACATATCTTAGGTCAAATATTTCTTGATATGTAACCTGAATTCTCCTTATATTTATTCACCTGGGGAATCCCAATATAGGACTCAATCTGGCTGTAAAATATGTTTAACGGATAGCAAAACCCTTTTTGATTATTTGTTGTAATCTCATCTTGATATCTAATTAAGGCAACTGAATCATGTACACACATTATTTCATTGTCTTATCTCAGCATATCTCAAAGTGTCTGAAATGATTATTCGTGTGAATGAAACAATATTAACCCATTTGACATACTTTATTTGTGCATATAAAATAATAATCTAGTAATTACAACAAAATATTACTTAAGACGTAGTACATAATTCAAATTCTACGTAATTTCAGATATTTAACATGAGTTACAAACATATATTTAGATAGAGATTTAACGCAAGAATTTAAAATCACTAGAGAAACTTCGAGTGTAAAGATATATCTGAACCACCTAGTTTTTAACCACTTGTACTTGGGTTTTAAGGATGTCTAGGCATTCTAACTGATTTGTAGGCATTATGTAACATGGGACTATGGGAACTGGGTTTGGTATGCCCTCCAAATTTGAAATTTATTGACAACCATGGTGAGGATGTCATTGGAGTATCTGTCTGATGCTATTAAGGGTACACCAATGTTTGCCAGAAAGTGGGGAATTCAACTTAGATACGACAGTTTGTACTACTTGGCCATTCTTGGCCCCTTATAGACAATTTGATCAAAAATCATTTGCACCAAATTTAAAACCACTTTTAAGCCCAATTTAAATAGAACCACTATCCTTTTTATAAGACAGGTCTAATTGATGCGTCAATTAATCAATATTGTAAATCAAGATTTGTGAAGGACTTTATATTTTAGTAGCAATCTGAAGCTGGCAGATTACCAACTTTTTTAGACCAGTTCATGCTCCTCATCAGTCATCACCATCGCCACTGCATCGCTACTCAGTCCTTCATCCACTCAATCCAACACTTCTTCATCCCAACTAATCCCTCATAACAGTTGAATTGAATGTAATCAGTCTACCCCTTAGTCTAATTGATGCGTCAATTAATCAATATTGTAAATCAAGATTTGTGAAGGACTTTATATTTTAGTAGCAATCTGAAGCTGGCAGATTACCAACTTTTTTAGACCAGTTCATGCTCCTCATCAGTCATCACCATCGCCACTGCATCGCTACTCAGTCCTTCATCCACTCAATCCAACACTTCTTCATCCCAACTAATCCCTCATAACAGTTGAATTGAATGTAATCAGTCTACCCCTTAGTCTAATTGATGCGTCAATTAATCAATATTGTAAATCAAGATTTGTGAAGGACTTTATATTTTAGTAGCAATCTGAAGCTGGCAGATTACCAACTTTTTTAGACCAGTTCATGCTCCTCATCAGTCATCACCATCGCCACTGCATCGCTACTCAGTCCTTCATCCACTCAATCCAACACTTCTTCATCCCAACTAATCCCTCATAACAGTTGAATTGAATGTAATCAGTCTACCCCTTATATATTCTTACCAACTTAAGGGGTTCCCTACCTTCCCAATGTTCTTGGGTATGTTTGCAAAAAAATTCTTTAATATAGTGTATTTGAATTTTCCATCAAACTTCAACAACTTCTCCAACTTATAAAAACCAACAATCTCATTAAGTCTAATCCTTACAAACTCTTCAATCATAATCCTAAATTCCTCAATAAATTTATGATAGGCAAAAGAGACATAAAGAGTTTCATTTTGTTCAGACAAAAAGCAGTAATTATGGGAGCTAACTGAGTGATGTCCTTCAGAAAAAGTTTAAACCTGAATAATCTAGGGTTTTAACTTGGAGCTGCTATGACTCTATAAACTCCACTAGTCGAGCTAGGAGATTTGTGTAAATATTATATTCTAGGACCAATCAACTTTAGATATAATCACTTTTAATATATAATTGATACAATTTTACGACAGATCTATTCTTTAATGAATATTCAATTAAATTAAATAATAGGGTCCGTACATTCAAATCTTAGTAATTTGTTAATCACAATGAGTTGTGATTGTAAGATACAAATTATATATGATTGAATCTTAAATCATCCTTGGTCGTAAATAATAATGAGATACAAATATCGTTATTACAGATAGACCATCACGTGTGAAATTTCTTACTTGTGAAATAAGTAACTGATCTCACAATCTAAAATGTGGTGAGACTTAAATAAACATGTGGATGTTTTGATATAGAATAAAACATTGTAGACCAGCTGGGAAATTCCACATGTATAGCTATATGAGTGTCAGTGACTAATCTCTAACGTTTAGTGGTGAAATTGGTCCTTCAACTTGGGGTTATTATAGTACTTTATATGAGGACAATCATACTTTAGTGATGCTGGATGTTGCTCTGTCAAGGATCACTAATACAGCGTCATTCTGGAATGTCAACAATCATATGAAGGTTGTGAATAACCAATAAAGAATTTGCAACTCTTAGATAGTAAGAGATTATGATATACTTTTTATTCAAGGCCTGTTTGGGCCTCATTTTTTCATCCAAAAAATTGATTTTTTGACCGTTATTTTATTATTCCAGCCGTCATATTTGACTTCTCCTCTCACATGTGGACCCCACTTTTTTCCTAACTGTCAAAAAATCAATTCTCAAAATTACTCCCAAACAGACTCTCAGTTAAGTTGATAATGAAATCATTGGCCAAAGTGTACTCATAAGTTGAAATGAGTTTTCGACTTATACTGACTTAATAGTAGAATGAAAGATATGATTCATAACTGAGATTGACACATATCCATATCTCGTAATTGATCAGATCATATTAATGAAGAGATTATAATTTTACAGTAAACGAACAAGTTTGTCACAAGTATTGCCCCAACATGTTGCTAGATGTCAATTTGAGATGACCGATGTGAATTAGTGATAAATTAAAAGATGTGTTTTAATTTATCAATTTATGTTAGATCAAAATAATAATTCACGTCGTTAGGTATCATGATTAAGAACTTAATGGGTCACACATTAAAAGAGAATTCGAAGAATGAGATTTACTAATTAATTAATTAACAAGTGTTGGACAATTAATTAATTGAGTTGCTTAACTAATGAAGAGTTTACATAGTACATAATTCAAATCGACGTAATTTCAGAGATTTAACATGAGTTACAAATAGATATTTAATGCAAGAATTTAAAATCACTGGAGAAACTTTGAGTGTAAAGATATATCTGAACCACCTAGTTTTTAATCACTTGTAGTTGGGTTTGAAGGATGTCTAGGCATTCTAACTGATTTGTAGGCAGTATGTAACACGGGACTCGGGGAACTGGGTTTGGTATACCCTCCAAATTTGTAAATTCATTACAACCATGGTGAGTATGTCATTGATGTATCTGTCTGGGGCTATTAAGGGTACACCAATATTTGCCAGAAAGTGGGAAATTAAACTTGGATATGTTAGTTTGTACTACTTGGCCATTCTTGGCCCCTTTTAGACAATTTGATCAAAAATCATTTTCACTAAATTTAAACCCACTTTGGAGCCCAATTTAAATAGAACAACTGTCCTTTTTATAAGACAGATCTAACTGATGCATCAAAGGATCAATATTGTGAATCAAGATTTGTGAAGGACTTCATATTTTTATAGCAATATGACGCTGGCAGATTACCAAAATTTTCAGACCAGTTCATGCTTTCATCACCATTGCCACTGCATCGCTAGTCAGTCCTTCATCCACTTAATTCAACATTTCTTTCATCCCCAACTAATCCCTCATAACAGTTGAATTGAATGTAATCAGTCTACCCCTTATATATGCTTACCAACTTAAGGGGTTCCCTACCTTCCCAATGTTCTTGGGTGTGTTCGCAAAACATTTCTTTAATAGAGTCTATTTGAATTTTCCACCAAACTTCAACAACTTCTCCAACTTATAGAAACCAACAATCTCATTAAGTCCAATCCCTGCAAACTCTTCAATCATAATCCTAAATTTCTCAATAAATTTATGATGGGCAAAAGAGACATAAAGAGTTTCATTTTGTTCAGACAAAAAGTAATTATGGGAGCTAACTAAGTGATGTCCTTCACACAAAGTTTCAAACCTGAATAATCTAGGGTTTGAACTTGGAGTTTCTATGACTCTATAAGCTCCACTAGTCGAGGTAGGAGGTCCGTGTAAGTGTTATGTCCTAAGTCCAATCAATTTTAAACATAATTACTTTTAATATAGAATTGATGCAATTTTATGACTGATATATTATTTAATTAATATTCAATTAAATTAAATAATAGAGTCCCTACATTCAAATCTTAATAACTCGTTAATCATAAGGAGTTGTGATTTTGAGATAAAAATCATTTATGGTTGAATCTTAAATCATTTATGGTTATAAGTAATAATGAGATACGGATATAAATTCCCCAATCCTCTACTAAGCCCTTTTCTCTCTACTCCATGGGGGAGCCGCCACCACCTCCAACCAAAAACCAGCACCACCCGCCACCCAAGCCGCCGGAATCACCCACCACCATAATCCTGTCACCGCCGTCTACAACCTCCCACCAACGCCCACCCACTATTTCGCCGGTAACAGCCCCAATCTCCAAAAACCCTCCACCCTTAACACAAAACAACCCTCCCCCCGCAACCCAAGCCGCCGGTCGCTACCTCCATAGGCGACGGCAAGCCCTTCTCTTCACTCTCCCCCATCTTACCTGGTCTCACGCCACCCAAAATAGCCACGACCTCCATCTAAACCGCGGTCGACCCAAGCACTGCCCATATTTCCGGCCACACCCATTCTTCGAATCATCCTCCAAATATCTCCACTTCCCTAGCGGGTGACTCTTATGGAGTATTATCAACCAATGCAGCCAAGATTCTCAATGTTCAGAATGCAAAAACTTTCCAGACGGGATCGTGTGATAAGGGTGTTTCAATTGGTGAACCTTATGTTTTGCAAGTGAATAATTCAGCACCTAATCATTCAATTGAGGGTGAATTGGGACACTTGAAACCAAAAACATATGCTAAGGTGTTAAATGGGTCTCAAGTAAATGACTTAGACTTAGATACATATCCTCTGGAATTAAATTATGTTAAACCCCAGTTTGATAATGGTCGAGTGAAGGTGGTTCTGCCTATAGATGTGGCTACCTCGGGTTGTGAAATGTGGAGGACGACTTTGGTTGGTTCATTTGTTGGCAAGAAATTAGCTTTTCTGTAGTGAATTCTATTGCTCATAAACTGTGGGACAGATTTGGCCTTAAGGAGGTTTTATCCTCAGATGCTGGGTTCTATTTTTTCAAGTTTGATTCTCTCTTCCAAGCTTTATTAGTTCTTGAAGGAGCGCCTTGGCATATGGCTAACAAGCCGCTTATTTTGAAATGTTGGCAACCTAATATGACTCTGGCTAAGGAGAACTTACATTGCATTCCTGTTTGAGTGAAACTTTATAATATTCCTTTTGAGTACTGGACGGCAGAGGGATTGAGTCATGTAGCGAGTGCTGTGGGACGTCTTCTATGGGCAGATGCGATCACTCTTGCGCATAAACGTCTTAGCTATGCACGTGTTTGTGCTGAGATTAATGCATTGGAGGATTTAGTGGAGGATTTTGACTTCCATTGCACGAATGGAGATTAGATAACTATTCGTGCTCAGTTTGAATGGGTCCCCATTAAATGTTCGAAATGTGGGGTATTTGGCCACAATTGCTCTTCTCAAACTATGCCTAGTGAGAGTAAGGGTAAGCTTGCAAAAGTTTGGGTTGCTAAAGATAAGGCTGGACAAAGTGGAGTAGCTAATGAGAAACCACCTATTGAGGATGAATGGACACATGTCTCACATAAGAGGAAGTCTACAGTTAGTGTTGATTCTGGGGTTGATGTGCCTATTTCTAAGGAGGTCCAAGGAGAGGTTGATCTGGTGGTTGTCAATGTGGCTCATGTAGATGTTGTTGAATCTTCTCCACCTAGTGCTCCTAATTTGCATCTGGAGGTATCGAATGTGCCTATTGAGACTTCTCAAATTGGGGAAGAAGGTGAAGTTTCTCCAGATCCTCTTGCCATTCTAGGTGAAGATGATAGTGATACTTCTGTCTCGCAGTCTAACACGTTAGCTACGAAAGCTAGAGATTCACTTCAGAAAAAGAAGAATGTGTCAGAAGGCAAGCATAAGAAAGGCAAGAAGTATCACTCCCCTAGGGGAGGTAGATTCTCTCCTTGACTTTAATTATGTTTTTTGGATGCTGGAATGTCAGGGGGTTAAACGACCCCGTCAAACAATCTGAAGTAAAGAACCTTATTGCTTCCAATAGGCTTTCTTTATGTGGGTTAGTGGAATCTAAAGTTAAGGAGAAGAATCAAAATAAGGTGGCGAATGTCATCTTCAACTCTTAGAGTGTCCTTTCGAATTATAATTGTTCTCCGATTGGCAGAATTTAGGTTTGTTGGAATCCAATTGATGTAGATGTCTTGTTGGTAGGCTGCTCTGCTCAAGCCATCCATGTTCATGTTAATGCATGTAATGGTAAATGGAGTTGTGTGGTGTCGGTGGTATATGGGGATAACATCCCAGTTAAGCGTGTTGATCTATGGGATGATTTCGTAGCTAGGCATGGAGGTTTTCCACACTTGCCATGGGTAGTCATGAGGGACTTCAATTTTGTTCTCTCTTCTTCAGAAGTGGCAGGTGGTTCTTCTTCTTGGCCTGCATGGCAAGATAATCTAGGGAATTACATGACGATGGTAGGGTTGGTCGATTTGAAGTTTGATGGCTGTTTATATACATGGTCTAATAAGCATGTATCTGATCCTACTCTCAAGAAATTAGATCGTGTATTGGTGAATCTGAAGTGGGAGGAGGAATTTTCGGGATCGTCAGCTACATTTCGTACTGCTGGTGTGTCGGATCATTCACCTATGGTTGTGAAGGTTGCAAAGTTACCGCGTAGGAAGATTCTATTCCGCTTCTTTGATTATTGGATGGATCATTCGGATTTCTTTCCTTTGGTGGCTCAGGTTTGGGGTGAAACAGTATTGGGAACCCCTATGTTTTGTCTGTGTTCGAAGTTGAAGAAGTTAAAGCTTAACTTGAAAAACTTTAATAAGGAGCATTTTTCAGAACTTTCTACGAGAGTTACTCAAGCTCGGACTGATATAGAGCATGTTCAATGTTTGATTCAGCAATCGCCTTTGGATTCACCTCTACATAGGGAGGAGGCTCGGTTACAAAAGGAACTTTGTGAGTTGAGCAAGGCTGAAGAAGGCTTTTTGACACAAAAATCGCGTGTTAAGTGGCTGAATTTAGGAGACCAAAACACTACTTTCTACTTCAAGGCTATGAAAAGTCACTATGGGAAGAGTAAGGTGGTTTCTATTTGTAAAGACGATGGTACTAGAGTAGAGGAGCCGCATGAGGTCAGTGAAGTCATTGTTGCATTCTATCAAAATCTCCTTGGTCAGCAGCCTACTTTTGAGAGTCTAGATATGAACTTGCTCCGTAAAGCTCTTCCTAAAAGTATCTCAGCAGTGCAGAATGAAAATCTTGATAGAGATGTGTCATTTGAGGAAATTAAAGAGGTCTTGTTCTCATTGAAAGACAATAAGGCTCCAGGGCCTGATGGTTTTAATGCAGGTTTCTTCAAGAGGACTTAGAATATTGTGGGAAATGATGTGCTATGTGCCACTAAGTCCTTCTTTGACTCGGGGAAGCTATTGAAGCAGGTCAATGCTACTACCATCACATTGGTTCCTAAGGTTCCAAATCCTTCTCAGGTAAAGGAATTTAGGCCTATCTCTTGTTGCAATACTATTTATAAATGTATTGCTAAGCTTATTGCCAATAGAGTTAAAATGGTGCTCCTAGACATTGTTGGACCTCAACAAACTGCTTTTGTTAAAGGTAGGCATATTAGTGATAATATCCTTCTTTCTCAAGAGTTGTTGAGGAATTATCACCCCAAGGGAGGATTACCTAGGTATGCTCTTAAAGTTGATCTCATGAAAGCATACGATTCTGTTCGTTGGGATTTCCTCTTTGCGGTTTTAATGGTGCTTGGTTTTCCTGAGAGAGTTGTTAGGTGGATTACTGAGTGTGTCACTACCACTCGATTTTCGATTTCCATTAATGGACAACTGCATGGATTCTTTGCTGGTGGGCGAGGTCTGAGACAAGGAGATCCTTTGTCGCCCTACTTGTTTGTCTTGGCTATGGAATCTTTTCAGGGCTAATGGGATTGATGGTTGCTGAAGGACTTTAAATACCACTAGAGATGTGAGAAGGAGAAGATCACCCATTTATGTTTTGCTGATGATCTTATGGTCTTTTGTAGAGCTGAGGTTGGTTCTGTCTCGATCATTGGGGAATGCCTTAATCAATTCAAAGCTCTTTCTGGACTTATTCTTAATCCAGATAAGAGTAATTTATTTGCCAGTGGTGTTTCTACATATCTTAAGGATCAGTTGCTTGATGTTTTGGGGTAAAAGGAGGGTGTGCTACCGATACATTATCTTGGTGTTCCACTAATCTCTACCAAATTGAGGGCTTTGGATTGTAAGATGTTGGTGGACCGTATTATAGCTAGGGCTAAGAGTTGGACCTGTCGAGCACTCTCCTATGCAGGGAGGTTACAACTTATTAAGTCAGTGTTATTTTCTATTCAGGTCTACTGGTCCTCTGTATTTCTTTGACCTAAGGTTGTGATCAAGCAAGTGAAAAATTCATTGCGGGCCTTCTTGTGGAAGGGTAGTGACCTTGGCACCGGTGGGGCTAAAATGGCTTGGGCAAAAATCTGTATGCCTAAGGAGGAGGGTGGTTTGGGTCTACGGGGCTTGGAGATTTGGAATAAGGCTGCCATGTTAAAGCATCTTTGGTCCCTTGCTCGGATTCTGCCTCCTCTCTTTGGGTTTCGTGGATACATTGTTATTTACTTAGAGGACGGAGCATTTGGGAATTGAAGTGTCTTGGGGATTGTTCTTGGAGTTGGAGGAAAATTCTTGGACTCCGGGATATAGGGAGGGACAAAATGAAAATCAGAATTGGGAATGGTAGACATGCCTCGCTTTTGTATGATAATTGGCATCCTCTTGGCCCTTTAGAAAAGATTCTTGGAGAGAGGATCATTCGTGAATCCAGATTAAGTAGACTAGCTAAAGTGGCTGATATTGTGGAGGGTGATACTTGGAGATGGCCATCAGTTCGCTCCCCAGCTTTGTCTGATTTGATGCGAGATACACTTGATATTTTTCGGCTGGACAGTAATAGAGAGGATGTATTGTGATGGGAGGATGATACAAATGGAGTCTTCTCTGTTCGGTTCTCTGTTCAGAGTGCTTGGGAGTCTCTTCGACCTCGTGCCTAGGGTGACTTGGTATCACATTGTATGGTTCCCTAAATGTATTCCTAGACATGCATTTATCCTTTGGTTAGCAATTCAAGGTGGCATCTATACACAGACAAAGCTTCTTAGCTTTGGTTTGGTACAGTCTATGCGTTGTGTGCTATGTGGATGTTCAGTGGAGGATCTGGATCATCTTTTCTTTGCTTGCCCATTTTTTGAGCGTGTTTGGAATGCTCTGCATGCGAAGTGTAACTTGCCTTCGGTCCAACGGAGTTGGCTAGACACTATTTCTTGGATGGAACAATTTCGAAGGAGGTCAATGTCCTCCATTGTTATTCGGTTAATGTTTGCGGCTTCAATTTATGCTATTTGGCATGAACGCAATGCTAGGACCCATGGAGAGGCTCCTAAAAATGAGTCTACTGTTATTCAAGATATTGTTTTTACTATTTGTGCACGAGTGAATTTGTGCAGGAGCTTGGTTCCATCTAATGAAAATAGATAGCTCCAATGCTCTTGGGGGTTTTCTACAGATATTTTTTGTTCTCGTGATTAGAATATGAGCAATTTTCTAGAGTTTTGCTATTGTTGTTAGGAAGGCATTAATTCCTAGCATTGTTTCCTGGGGTATGCCCCTGTGATTTGTACTTATTTTTATACTTTGGATATAATATACTTATCTTATCCAAAAAAAAAAAAAAGAGAGATATGGATATCATTATTACAAGTAGAGCATCAAGTTTGGTATTTCTATTGGCACCACAATCTGAAAATTATTCTTATGCATGAGAAAATTGGTTATGTCTTTAAGTAACCCGTTCCAGAGACACCATTAATGACTCGATTAATGAAGAGGTGACTACTATAATAAACACAGTGATGACAATAGTACTTCAACATGTGTGATACTTGCGACTATATCACCTAAGTTGCAAAAGCAACATAAAAGTATAGATGTCTGCACATGATTTTTCATTTCAAAAAATTGTATGATAATAATCATATTTAGAAGGATATGAAACTTCTAAACAACTATATCGGTGCAAAAGGATAGAGAACTCTTCAGTCAGTGCTCATGTACTAAAGATGATTGATATTAAGAAGTTGTCTCAACTGGGTTCAATCATGAACCATGAACTAAGTATTGACTTAATTCTACAATTTCTGCTAGAGAGTTATTCATAACTAATTATAAATTTTGATATGAATAAGCTCGAATGCACATTCATTGAGTTGCTAACATGCTTAAAATCGTGAAGCCCAATATCAAAATTTGTAGTAGGCAAATCTTAGTCATTGAATTCCCTAAGGGTTGTAGAAGGAAGTCAGCGGACAATGCCAAATGTAATTACCCTTTTATTATTATAGAATGAAAGGTCATTGGAAGAAAGATTGCAAGGCCTATGTCTGCTTCATTAGCTTCTTAGGTATTAGATACCAGATGTGGATCTCATATTTATAAAAATATGGAAAAACTATATAGAACTAGAACACTGCAAAAACGAGAAGTTGACTTGAACGTTGAAGATGAGCGAAGGTTGCTGCATTGCCTGTAGGAGCATACTTCTTGCCATTACTTTTACAATTAATATTAGAATTGGAGAAATGTTATTTTGTTCTTACCATTACCAAGAACATTATTTGAATTTCACGTGACATGAATTATGTTAATGTTAAGGACAATTGCAGCTCATTTTATCTTGATTAGATCTTAATGGTTATGGTAAATTACAAAATGACATTTATATTCTAAACACTATGTATTCTATAGCAATATAGAAATTGAGAGGCATAAAAGTGATAATCTGAATAACACCTAAATCTGGCATTGCAAACTTGGCCACATAAATGAAAATGTAATTCTAAAATTACACGGAGTTGTATAGTTGGGATCAATTGATATTGAATCATTTGGCAAATGCGAATCATGCCTATTAGGCACAGTAACCAAATCCCCTTTTTATTTGAAAAGAAGTAAGGTTTGAATAATTACTAGCCTAATACATATTGATGTATATGGTCCATATCAATTAATGTCAGATGAGATTTCTCTTATTTCATCACAATTACTAATGACTATTTCAGAAAAGCATAAAGCTTTTGAATGATTTGAGGGATTCAAGCTAAAAATAGATAAACAAATAAGTAAGAATAATCGTACACTAAGATCTGATCGAAGTGAAGATTATCTTAAAGATAAAATTTTAGATTATCTAAAGAGGATGAGATTTTCTTATAGTAGACTCCTCCACATACACTATAACATAATGGTTTTTCTAAATAGAGAAATTACTCAATATTAGATATAGTGTGATTAATAACAAGACATGCAAACTTCCCAAAAAATTGTTTTGGGGTCATACACTGATTGCAGTGTACTACACACTAACTTATGTCCCATCTAAGTCAATTGGTAAAGCTCCATACGAGTTATGAAAAGGTAGTAGTCCCAATTTATATCACATAAACGTTTATGTGAAACGCATTGAATTGGATAAGCTTGAGACTAAATCTGATAAATGTATATTTGTGGGATATCCAAAAGAGACAATTGGATATTAATTCTATAATCCCATTAAGAAGAAAATCTTCATCCCAGGACATACTGTCTTCCTAGAGGAAAAGTTCATTTTAGGAGAGGACAGTGGGAAGAAAATAGAACTTAAAGGAGTTAAAGAGTCCACAAATATAGTTGACCAAGTAGATGAATTTGAGTTTGATCCCATACCTGATGACGGAAATACTATTGATCAGAAAGTAGAGACTTCTGAAGACACGTCAGCTCTGTGTAAATATGGTAAGATCATTCGACCTCCAAGGAAGGTGAGAATCAATGATTACTAATCAAGTATTACTAATTGAGAATGATGAACCGACTAATTGCACAAAAACAAAGTCCAGTGTTAACTTAAAGAGATGGCAAGATGCCATGGAATCCGAGATGAACTCGATATATGTAAACAAGGTTTAGACCTTGATCGACCAACCTGATGGGATAGAAACTTCCATACATAGGATAAGTACGTTTGTGCATTTATTTAGGCCATATTACTAAACTTTTATATCGTCATTATCATTTTCTACCTAATTTGAGTTCTTTTTTTTATTATTTATTTTTAGTTATGCACCCGTTTTGAAGCAGTTGGAAGGATAAATTGGCCATTAATAGAAATTCGAAGACTACTATTCACACTTTGAAAATTGAAGGGCTTAAATTGAATTGAAGAAGGCATAGCTGTACAACTGAATGGGCTAAAGGACTAAATTGCATTGATTGGAAAAAGTGAAGCCACGGAGAGATAAATTACATTAAGTGGGCTTGGATCAAATAAAAAAGGAAATGAAAAGAATTGGGCTTCAAACCAATTTGAATATATATATATATATACTGGAAAAATTACACACACACAAAATTCGGCAGTTGAATGGAAAAAGAGAATTGATTAGACATAACCACAGGTTGGGCGCTGCAAGGTTGAATTATATACACGACAACCGAAATAAATTGAAGAGGCATGCACAGGCTGCTGGGAACACGAAAAAGTTGGCAGTTGCAATTTTGATATACAAAAATTAATCACATTCTGTCGATTTTTGGTAATATCTTTTATCATTTCTTTGTTTAATCTCAACATTATGCTCAGCTAAATTATTTTATGCTAGAATTTACGATGAACCTTGTAGTATGAACATTTAAATCTTAATTTTATTTATTTTGACGTTAAAATACATTTTCAATTATTGAATGATTGACATATATTTAATTTTTTCTACAATTACTTGATCGCTAATTGTATGAATTTTGTAGCTTGTTTTACCTTTGAGAGATGGAAAATAAGTTAGACATTGTGTCAATCATCATAGAGTCCGATAGAAAATCGAAATATGCCGCTATATTTTACGTGATCTTTAAGTATTCACAAATTCATTATTACATTTTTATATGTTTGCATCCACCATAAAAAATAGTCGGATCACATATAAAAATAGGTTTAATTTTACTACAGAGAGATTGCTAAACAAATTAAGATTATTGATCTTCATAATTGAATCGTGTTGTCTAAATTATAGGGTTCGGGGTTAAAAAAGAGATTGATATAAGGAAATTCGGGGCCTTTTTGACTATCATATTTTTATAACACTTGCATTTATTTTAGTTGTATTTATTTTAGTTAAATTTGGTCTTGCATTCCTCAATAATTTAAGTGGTTACAATTTAATCTCAGAAAATTCATCAAATTCTATATTTTCGATTAAGGCGAAGATAATTTGAATTTAAACTAGTACAATCTCTATGGGACAATTCTTGAACGCAAAATTCACTTTATTACTTGTTAAAAAGAATCGTATACTTGCGGTGATTTTAATTCGAAATATATTTTCATGAACAACATATTAAGAGAGGCTAATAGCAAAACGTTTCAAACAAAGGCAACGAGTTGGTTTTGATGAAACTTCTAGCCTATAGTTATTCTAAAGTCTATTCGAATTTTGATTACAATAGTTAATACCATAACTATGAGTTATGACAAAAGGATGTCAAAACTGTATTCTTTACCAGGAACTTGTAAGATAAAATGTACATGACACGATTCGAAAGTTTTGAATCCAAACAGGCTTACAAGGTATATAGGCTTGATCAATTCTTATGTGGATTGAAGTAAGCCTCTTGAAATTGAAATCTTCGATTTGATGGTAAAATCAAAAGGTTTGATTTTATAAAAAAAATGAACATGAACTGTGTGTTTACAAAAAGATAATAGGAGCATTGTCACATTTCTAATGTTATACGTATAAAACATATTATCAATAGGAAACGACATCCCTACGTTTTTCAATTGTTGAAATTGTGGTTGTTAAAGAATTTCTTCATGAAAGATATGGGAAAGCAATTTGATCTATAGAGATAGATCTAGAAAATTACTTAACTCATCCCAATCCACAGAGATAAAATCTTGAGATTATTTTGTATGGAGAATATGAATCGAGAGCTCATGAATACAGTGATACTAACTTCTGTCAGACTAAAATGATAGCAAATCTCAAACAAGATTAGGGGTGGGCATGGGTTGGGTTGGGTTGGGTTGGGTTGGGTAGTTTTTTTCCCCGATTTTATTTAAAGTCAATCCAACCCAATTAATGGTTTAAACCCAACCCAACCCTACCCAATCAAATTTGGGTTGGTTTAGGTTGGGTTGATCTGTTTGGGCTTCGGTCCAATTAAAGTTGGATCCGATTATATTTTTGTTAAATTTAGATAAATTTTTAAAGTTTGAAATTACTTGAAAATCTCTGTTTTTTTTTTTTAAATACCTATGTAAAGAATTCTTTTTGAAAAATGATGTATAAATAAGTTTAAAATTTATGAAGTAATTTTTTTTTAATTTTTCGAGATTTATTCATTTCATCATTATCTTTTTAATTTTTACTTTATTATCAAATAGCATTTTATTTGTACATTGTGTTCATGGGAATCAATCAATATAAAAAAATAAACATTTATAA